AAAAAAAAAGAAAACAAATAAAAGAACAGAAGATTAAACTTTTATTTTTCTCTTTTCGATAAAGCCATTGAGGTAGCGGTTGCTGAATGCGCCACAAATCATGGGATGATGGAAGAATCATTTAAACTAAAAAGAGCAAAGATAGAGAAACAGAAGAAAAAAAGGATAAAAAAAAAATATATATAAAATATGAACTTAAAAATCAGTTAGTTATAGATCGTAAGACATTTTTAAGAAACCATAACGAATTATCAACTTTATATATACATACATATATATATATATATAGATGTTCTAAGATCCACATTTGCCTATGTATAGACGTATGTATTTAATAGAAACGCGATCACGAAAGGGTATATAAGAAGAAAGTCAGTAATTCATGTGTTCATAATAAGTATTATTATTATTATTATTATTATTAGTATTATTTTTTATTCAAATGACTGTTGTGCGCTGTTAATTATCTGATTGTCACAATATTTTGTATACGATTTTCGAAATCGGTGTGTTTTTCCTTTTTTTTTTTTTTTTTAAAAAAAACATTGTAAACATAGCATTAAGATTTGTCTCTTTTTGATCTCTCGATAATTTTTGGTTGTTTCCATCATTCCCATTTGTAAGAAGTTAGTACAACTTGGATGTGTATAGTTACGCGTACATTGTTGCATAATAAGAATAGCAAAAGTGTGAGTTACTCTCATCGTTAGTGCGCGAGCATTAAACATGATCCATAGGGGTTACCATTGCAATTCGTAATCGAAGGCTCGTCGAATGAAAATCGGAAAATGGATTTAAATTAATAATCAGATAAAAATTCAGTGAATTCTAATTCAAGAAGTATAAATAAAACAAGTGTAAACGCTATAGTGGGACGGGGCCTATGATTACTCGTATAGGAAATATTCTGATCCGCACCATTTTCAATACGGTCCGTCGCCCATCCCCAAAAATGGAAAATTGCATCAAAATATCTCAAAATTTGCGACCTGAACACAAACAAATAACACGAACAGAGGGACCGACAGATAGATAGAATTATTTTCTAAATCAATCGATGTGGGGCCTATCTTATATACTTCTGGGCATTGCATAAATCCGCATAAATTTTACATGATGTAAGGTATAACGAAAACCTATATGAAAACATTATAGTCGGCCACGGCCAGGCATCACTTCGCCTGATATAGTGGTCCATAACAACTGATAAATTTTCATGTAAGCACTTATCAAAGTTGGGTGCTATATTGGAAGTAGTCCGATTTCAACCATTTTTCATAGCTTTTCGTACCGAGGCGAAAATATGATGGCGTACCGAATTTCATTAAAATATCTCAATAATTACGATCTATAGGTAGGACACAAAAAAATAAGATGAACAGACGGATAGACAAGATGAGATTACAGATAGAGTTGCTCTTTCAGTCATTCGATATATACATAAAACAATGGCGCTTATCTCAAGTCCTTTTGGTTGTTGCGTCACATCCGCACCCTTCTACCACAAGTGATGTAGGATGTAACGAGTGAAAACAATATGATCGGCCACAATCGGCCATTAAACATTCAACGTCATTCCACAGCTATTCATAAGGTCTTATATTTTTCCTTATAACGACTTTTCAAAATAAGTCGTTTTTACAAAAAGTGGCCGAAAAAATGGTCCGATCAGCGCCCGTCTTCCTCGGTGTGCCACCGACTTTTTAATCAAAATATCACAAACATGATGATGGTGATGCAATGCAGTTTGAACACAAAGATGAATGGATAGACAAAGTAGTAAGCTTGCTCAGTACAATAAAACACTGGGCTATGTTTCAGATCTTTCTGGCTACATTTTCACAAACAAAGCCGTTAATTAATAAGCCGTGAGTTGAGAATTATAATTTTACATTAATTATCAGAATTTTTGTATTGAAATTCAAAAAATTGGATACATGTTCGTATAGTTTACAAAGGATTTTCCATCATCCATTACCTTATCATTAGGTCTTTTAAGCACTAGTAACAAAGCTAAAGCTTTTTTAGGTTTATCCGTATGCGGACCAGCGCTATGCGTAAGATTCGCAGTCAAATAATCGCTTTTCTGTTCAAACGCTCGGGACACATTGACGAAAAATGAAATACCAGACGAATATCTTTTTCCGGTGGCGCAATCGATCTCATTTGAAAATGAGGAAGCGTTAGCCAAGAATCGAAATAGCAACAAACTTTCTTCTAAAATTTTATATAAACATATTAACTTACAATGAATGCTAAAACTTTGACAATAGATCTAGAAACGAAAGTGAAACGCGGTTGCAAAATATCTCGACAAATAAGCAAACGATTGTAATAATCCTTAAGAGATATTTGCTTAATATAAATACTTCACGGAACTATTTATTGAAGTAACTGCAGAAGAATGGAAGATAGCTCCAAATGACACGCCCATGAAAATGTATTTTGCTATTTAGTTTGCATATATATAGTGTAATTTTTCCAACAAGGATATATACATAAATCTCTTAATCGTTTATTATAATATATATATATATATATATATATATATATATATATATATATGTCGTTTATAACGGTAAAGTTTCAGTGCGTGAAAAAACGAATAAAGTTGAGCATATTAACCCTATTGCACCTATTGAGGTGAGTATCCAAGATTTGTCCTAAATAATTCTAAATTTACTCTACACTGATTTTTCAAAAAAGTTAATCTTATATGGATAAGAGAGGCGGCGATCTATACAATTGAATTTATCTATCTATATACATAATATAACTTAATAAGCTTAGATGTTGATTTTAGTTGTGAGGACGTTTTTCAATTTTCACGGTTCGGTGTTAATAAACAGCAAGAGAAATACTGACAAGGAATCGCTTACTTAACATATTTCGAAAATCTTCTTCGCTTAACCGTCTTTTGAAGATTTCGTTAAAGCGTTTATATAAATATAAAGTGGACTTTATCGTCAATAATAAGTTTATTTTTTCTACTTGATAGAGAAAAAAATTTCAACTATAGTTTAACGAAGAAATTGACCATGAAAGGATAGTATGCCATGAAAAGTGTTGAAGAATAGGTTTTTCCCATAACTCGTAGCATCGTAGTGCACTAGGACGTAAGTGCTTTCATATGCGTTTTTCTTTTTCTGTTATTTTTAATTTTTTCTTTTTTTCTCTCCTTGGTTTGCTTTAGCAAGTGTAAAGCGATAGCCTTTTTTTTTTTTTTTTTTTTTTTTTTTGGAGATAATTAGTAATTTTGACATGTCCAGTTAGTTATTAAGATAACCGGTGGAATTTCCTTCCACTTTGTTAACATCATTCCCTACGGCATAAAAAATTCCACGAGGCTTATTTGAGTAATTTAAGAATCTTAGCGGTACCATTTATCTAGAAGGTTCCATTCATCTAGGAGATGTCGAAAACAATTATGAAAATGTCGAATTTGTTAGAACTTTTCGAAATAACTTCAGCTCGTAACAATAAAATGTATATAGAGGGGGGAAGGCATTTGATTGATATATATACATATATATATATATATATTTTTTCATTTTATAAAGAAAAGACTTTTATTAGCTTTCCTCATTACTTGATTACGTTTCTTGAGTCTTCTGGAAACATGCTACAAAGGAACTTAAGGAGAGTTTTTTTGTTGCATAAAAATTACCTTAAATTAATAATCGATATTAACTGAAATTTACTCGTTCGTAAAAAAAAACAAAAAAAAAAAAAAAGTAAAAGTAAGAAAATTTCATGGCTACCAAACGCAAAAACATTCTGCTTTCGTATGCTTTACATACTAATATGTACAAACAGGATTAAATGGCGGATATTATACAGGCGCACTTCAACAGGCTCACAGTACCACCCCGCATGATGTACCCCATGGTGTAGGATGCGCTTCGGCACCGCCAACCACCTCGAATGTAAATCCTTCATCAGTATCGGTACCGCCTGTGCATGTACCACCACAAGTTGGACTGCAACTAGGACTTGTGAGTAGTAAATCGGTAGGTACCAACACCACTTTCTCAAAAAAATAAAAAATTAAAAAAAATAAACAATAAATAAATAAATAAAATCAAAAAAAAAAAAAATACATCATGCATAGAAATTAGTTGGAATTGTTTCCATATCTACCAAAAAAAAAAAAGAAGAATAATTCTATGTTGCATTTGTTTTCTTTCGTGTCTTCACTACCATCGCTTACAATCACATGTTTTATATATATATATATATATATATATATACATATATGTAGATATATACAAATTTATATATATATATATGTATATATAAAAAAATTTTATCTCCAAATTTAGTTAATACTTAAAATATATAAAAATAGAAAAAAAAAAAAAGAAGATAATACGCAAGTGTGTATAATAACAAACATATATATATATATTACATACATCACATTAAGTAGATGGATGATGGATGGTTCACATCTATTTAATTAATATTGATTATTATGACAAATGTATTATTGTATCTGTGTATACATTATTTATTTGATGCTATTGCTATAATTTGTTGTTGGTTGTTTGTTGCATTGAGTTGAGTTGAGCAGTATCTAACCTAACGTATTATATATATATATAATTTAGGCTTGATTTACATTTTATTTGTTCTATTTTGTTCCTATTAAGAATCATTTTCACAAAACGGCATAATATATTGATCACATGTGTGTGTTGTCGATGCTCTCAGCCAAGAGTATATAGCATGGAACGAAAAAAAATCCAGTAGAGTGAAGATGGTTTTTTTTTCTTTTCTTTTTTTTTATTTTTTTTTTTTTTTATTTTTTTTTTTTTTGTAATACGTACGTTATTTGTTGCCACATTTTTCTGTATTTTTTCGAGTAATTTAGTTGAATTTAGTTTTATATAATATATATTCATTTTTCACTTTTCGTGTTGTTTTCATACTTATGTACGGATGTAAAAATTATTCATTAATTTTTTTAATGTAAATTAATGTTGTATGTTTAATTGTAGCCCCTGAATGCCCCAGACCCTAATAACCATCATCCTTCAACATCTAAACCAGAGTCATCGGAGGTCCAATAGTTCAAAAGCGTCAACGATAACACCACCACCATCACCACCCACTACAACAACAACAACAACAACAACATTTAAAAGAAGAAAAGGACACTTTCTGAAGAAGTGAAATAAAAAGCAGACGAACGAACCAACTAAATCCAGCAATAGTACTAAATATTCCTTGTTTATTAAATCGCCAAACTATGAAACAAAAGAAGAAGGAAAAAAGAAACAAAATGAGAACTCACACAACTAGGAAACACAACGTGTATAATAATAATACATGAATTTCTATTATTTTATATAATATTTTTGTTTATTTATTTTTTTTTTTTTTTGTTTTGTTTTTAATTGAACAAAGAAAATTAGTTTGCAAAAAAAAAAAGAAAAAAGAAAGATGTCATTTTTGGAAATATTTTTTTAATATTTCAAATATATTTTGATTTCATTTTGATTGCTGACCTATATTTATATATATAGATATGTTATGTCCCATAAAGCCTATACACACAAACTTTGCAATGTTTCATTGACTTGTTGTCACAACATAAATTGATTTTTTTCTTTTCAAATCTTGTTTTATTTTACGTAATAAAGTTTAAAAATATATATTTTTTTAAATCATAAATTAAATTGACCGGCTCGCATAGCTCACCAGTAGAGCGATTTTTTTTTTTTTATTATTTACTTATTTATTTATTTATTTCAAACCGTATATAACTGCAAAGAGAATTAATTAAACGGCCTTCCGTATAGCAATTTTGTTATTTATTTATTAATAAGTTTCTTTTTTATATTACAAACAAAACAAAAGGTTCTCTCAGCTTAGGAGGTTTTTTATATTTTATTCATTTATTTATTTTGTTTTTTTTTTTTTTACATTTTTACAATATTAACAAAACGAATTTTTTACATATTTTTTCCACTTTCTCTCTCTCACTTTCGCTCTCACTTCCGTTAATGATAAAATTGAACCGCTATCAGAGTAAAAATTTTTATTTATTTATTTATTATTATTATTCTTATTATTATTTGGGTAATTCTTTACATTTACTCTCACAATGCTATAGTTTTGAAAACGAAGAAAAACGCTTGTAAACTCCTCAAAGTTCATGAAGAAAGAAACCGAAAAAAAAAGAAGCTAACCGAGTGAAGATATGGCTGAAGTTGTTGTAAAAAATAATAACTTCAATAGAGCGACATCTGTAATCAGATGAGTTAAGAAAATGCATTAACACAACATAGCGATAGTAATAATAAGTATAATTACAATGTGTATGTATGTAGAACTATCTATGTACATGTGTACATACAGTTGTTTGCCAATATTATTATCATTATCATCATCATCATCATCTTCATTATCATCACAACAAGAATCGGCGGACATTCATACTTGTGAAATTCAATTCATGAGTACAAAAAAGAAAGCAAAAAACTGAAATTCATGTATGAATTACAAGACACACACTCTTATACACATAGGCACACGCATACACACACCCACACACATACATACATACATACATACAAATAACTAAGCTCACACACGTTCATATGCTTGTACGAATTTCATTATAAATCAATGTGCACGATTAATGCATGTACGTACGTACGATTTACTTTAACAAAGCCACATACAAAAACCAAGCACTTGATTTCAAGCAAGCGATTAATGATCCTTTAGAACGAACGCGACCTACTTTGCAATATAACTTTATTTACAGATTTTCTATCCTCTCCTTCAAATAATTTCCTTCCATGCATATTTACCGACCGACCGACCGACCGACCATATATATGCATTGAAATTTTTCAAAATCCATATTGAAACCAAAAACGGGTTACTAATATATAAAAACAATACACTATGCTGTGCACGATACAACAGTTACTCTGTCTCTCTCTCTCTCGTCTACCTATCACCTAAAACTCTTTCTTATTTTGACCTTATGTTCACAGCTTTCCTTCAAGTTTTACATCTTCTTTTATTATGAAAACACACAAAGTCCTTAATTCAAATATGTTAATCCCTAACAAGATGAAGAAGAAAAAATATACAAAACAACAAACTGCTGCTGGTATTGTAATCTATAAATATACGTTAATGTTAAGTATAAAAAACTTACGCCTAATTTTTATTTCTTATGATTTATGTTATATTCAAGTGTATAAGCTTTTTTTTGGTATATTTTTATGTTAAAAAACAAAATGATAAAAAAAAAAAAAACAAAAAAGAAATATATTAAAAAAATTTTAAACTCAGATTATAATTCTGATAGTTTTAAGTAAGATGATAAATAAATGATAATTACAAATAAAAATTACAAAAAAAAAAAAAACAAGAATGTAAGTGTGACGTCCGTTGTTTCATCATCATCATCGATCCGTTCTCTTCGGGTGATCCCATGCTTCACTATTCACTATTGCGCTATAACACGGAAAACGAAAAGTAATAAATTTACGCATGCTTTTCATAACCATAACGCATGATCCGATTGCTTGCTTTTTGCTGTCGCCAAAATCTTTTGGTCACATATGCGTGTTCGGTTTCCACGTTATACGCCAAAAATCTGTAACGCACACACAAAAGTACATGTGATGACAATGATGATGGCCCTAAATAACTCTTCCAACGAAAGATCACTCGCTATCCTATAAAAAGTTGATATCAACTTTTAATCCACTTTTTAGTGGGATACGGCGAATCTTCGAGTCCCTCCTCCATTAAAGCCAATACGATGAAAACTAAAGTGCTTGATACGATCTGATCACTATTACCAAGTTTACGGCTGTGGATGGTTCAATAACAAGCAAATAAATTGACGGGAACAAGAACATCGTTAGTTTGAATTGCAAATTTCCGAAGGCATTTGGATGGTAAGTAAGTGTATTTTTTAAACTTTGTGTTTATTAAACTTTAGGAGCAGGACATCATATGAACTTCTCGTAATAATTTCAATTAGCAAACTATAGAGTAGCGCCGCTGAGTACAAATGAAGTGAAGAAGACTAACTTGCACCTCCACATTACTTTTACTAGCAAGTTGCTTATGTATTGGATCGAAATTGTAAAAGACGGAAATTTAATCTTTTTCGCTTCCTTTGCTTCTTTATTGTTACTAATTTTATTTTTTTGAATTTTCGTCTTGGATAATCTGTTATTTGTGTTGATTAGTGTGCACTGTCAATAACAACTTTTACGACATCAACCAAAGAGGATTTATTAAATTTATCAGAGGCTTACAGCAAAGTAATATACGGCTGAGATTTATTTTAGGTTGGCAAGGATGAAACTTGTAGTTTACAATTTCCCCAACTTGTTATTTGAGAGTGACTTAATATTTTGTCGAAACACAACGCATGATACCCGTAGAGGCAGATTATTCCACGCTCTAAAAAATATTATTAAACTTTTTTAAAAACTTTTGTTTTGATAATGGATCGATTGGAAATTAAAATACTGTCATGAAGCATGAGTTCTTACGTAGAACTGCACCGTCGCAGACCGCGCGAAATATAGTTTGTTTGGTTCTAGTGTAACTAAGCAGCAGACAGTATCCAATTGGTTTGCCAAATTTCGCGTTGATAATTGGATCTCGCGAATAAATCAAAGTTCATTTAAGACGTTGACTTTGACCCGTCTCAAAGTGCTTATGCATTATGCATTATGCGAAGTGCTTATCATTATTAAAGTTTAGTGTTACTCAACAAACAATATTAATTCATTTAACTTAATTTGGCAAAGTGAAAAAGTGAAAAAATTAACTGAAGAAAAACCAGAAGCAAAGGCTTATCGATCACAGCAGAAATATACTGTAACCAACTAGACAGAATGATTGTGAAACTAAGCTCAGATCGAGGTGAGATCGACTCCGGTCCTATTGCAAGGTAACGCTAGATCACACAGGGTGCAAATAGGAATTGGAGTTGGACCTTCTTCCTCATCCTCCATAGTCAGCGGACTCAGCTCTTTGGAAAATTTTGCGAAATTTCAATAGTAGTAAGAGCCCACGGTTCTTTTTATTCGCAAAATGCTCTCCTGAAAGAAAATTTTTGAAAAGGTAAATTGTTTTTCTTTGACAATAATTAATCCAAAATTAATATTTCCCAGGCTTTTGCGTGGTTCATAAATAAAATAAAAATATATATATTATTATCGCATGATCGAAGAAATTTCAAGATAAATTATAATAATCTCACATAAGCCATAATCTTGAACGTAAATTTTTTGATTATTTCAAATTGAGTTTCCAAATATATATCTATTTACAATTAAATATTTAGAAAATGAAATAGTAACTAAAAAAAAAGCAATAATATAACATAATACCTAGATTCCAGTGAACTTAACAAATACATATACGTTTAATTTTTGATTTGACATTTTAAGTGTCAGTCACATGTTTATATGACGGGGGAGGTCTACTAGGATCCTCTGCCTTTATAACTATCATCTCTTTGTCTACTTATGAAGATAGGTTGCTTTTATTACTTTTACCGTCACTTCATAAACGCAGATTTATTCTTGGTGTCTCTTGGTGGTGGTCCTTATAATTAAGTTAATTAATGGATTCATCAACATTACTTAGTGAGTGCAGCTTTAATGTCCCTAACCGCTTCTCTAGGCACCTTATGTTCATTAAGTTGAGTGAATGTAAATATCATTATGAGCTGTTTAACCCGTTTAGAATAATTCGCAGAAAGCTTAATGATGCCTATCACTTAATCTCAATATCGCATTCTGTAAAGTCCATCAACACAACTTTGCTTAATATGCGCGATTCGCCTATGTCGCATTTAAACTTACTTTTAACCTTAACATCTCTGTATCACAACTGTATCGGTTATCAAGTTTATGCATGTTTGCGACGGCCTATGGATTCATTTGCTGTTTGGTTCTCTACAGGTTGTTAGTGTGCCGGGCTAGTTGTGCAAGTGCTTCTTGTTTCTTCTTTTTTTCCTTCATGTTTATTTATACATGAATTATCATTTAATAATTATTATATTTTTTTTCCTTATTTCTGCTTATATACTTTATATTAGTTTTCAATATTAATTAGTGTAAGATTCTAACAGTCAATTGAATTCGACTGTTAATTTGTTTCACGTTGAGTTTCATGCGTAAATAAATAAATAAATAAATTTACCGAATAAGTTTGCAGCTAAAATATTAATATGCAGAATTAATCTGTTTAAGTAATTGCTACGGAAGAGTTCTATTTCATCTTTCATGACATCAAGATTACGAACGTGGAACCATACCTGACATATGTATAAAATTTAAACACTCTGCCTATCAGAGTTTATAGAATACGACACCTAACAAAAATGTATATGTTTCTTAAGGGATAATAATTTCTGGACGTTGCAAATCGCAACACCCTACCATAGCGGATATAAAATTATAAAAGCGTTCTTCAAATAAGATAAATTATTTTTGATTTTATATTAAAGCCAATGTCTGAAATTTGATTTGACTAAAATTCAAAAGTCGATTTTACCATGTCTTTCTAGGAATTTCCTTGGAAAACTTCTTCCAAATTCGATCGTTCAACTAAAAAATGCAGAAACATTCTTCGCAAGTCACGCTGCATGTCGTATTTAATATTCAACGATGAACGAAATTCACGAATTTCAAGAGCATCGTTGTGATCACTTTGAATCTTTCATGGCCCTACGTATTAATTTGAATCAGAACCAGTAGCCCAGAAGTTTAGAATATTTATTGAAGGTATTTGACAGATCAGGTCAGAAAGATCGGCCTCTCTTACTTTCTTAAAGACGTAGTAGTTTGCGAAGAAATGCACGATTGTTTTTCCGTTGGACGGTCTCCTTAGACGTGAAAGCATATTAGATGCAAAGAGTACTGTGTTTCTCTCCTTGAAATGCTGCGACACATCTACAATATTCGAATTAAACTATTCGCAAGTAAATCTTCTTCTTTCTATTTGTTTTATATTTATAAAGACATTAAATGACGTCAGAATTAAATGCACACTACTTTATTAAAAATTGATTAACACATTTACATATAACGGTAATCTAGTCTCTAAAATAATCAATTCATAATTCTATGTACATTATTCATATACAGATGTATTCATTATTATTGATTATGTAAACATATTAAATGGAATCTAATAGATAAACAAAATCCATCTAGAATCATTTCAGATTATTCCATTTCATTTTATTCTTCTAAAAAAAAAAAAAAATATTACAGAAAACTATGAAAACGAGGAACATTTCATTAAAAATCTTCATTTATTGACCATATGTTAGTTAAAAATTTTTATCGTTAAATTTCCATTCAATATTTCTGTGAAATCGTTTTTCTAAAATAAAAGTTTAGCAAAAGATTTTTCGGTTAATAAGGTATATGTGTCTATTATCCTATGCGCGAATGATATACTTTTAATTTAAATAAATCGTCGGCAATTAATCACTTATGAAGGGAATTACACGACAAAGAGAAAACCTATGTATAATGAGGTTTTTTTTTTTTAAAAAAATGGAAAAAAGAAAAATTAAACGTAATTTTCATAACATAAACTGGTTGGTTATTGAGTGCCTGGGATTATCTATTAGGTACGCATGAATCGCGGCCGCAATAATTTGAATACTCCGATAAGTCCCAAAGAAATTAAACCATATTTTATGGTAAATTTGCACAATCGTGTGCTTAATCGAGCCGGTGGAATTTCCATTATGTCCGGAATTCTCTGTGGGTCAACACGTCCCCACATTTGGGCTATACCGTTCGCATGACCTATGCCAACGATACCTACGACGCGTACCGGCCGTGGGATATTACTGCCGTCATTGGCTGATTGCGGCAAAGCGGCCATTTGTAGAGAATGACATAAGAACAAATCTCGCTCTTTCACGAAAACATTAGAAAAGGCGGGAAATTCTCCGGCCATTTCCTTCATTAATTTCTCTAACAAATCACGTTGTTTACACTCTTCAACTTCCTCCATGCTAATGGTGTTATTCGATGTCAAACGCCATACCAATTTAACCGTTTGCCAAAATGATAAGGCATGCAAGGCACGATGTAGTGTTATGCGAATCGGACGATCACCCAAATGCAGCATACAGCCTGGCAATTTATGAATTTCTTCGAAAGCTCGGCGAAATTCCCCACCCGGGGCCATACCTAGATCTCTAGCAATCTGAGCGCTCATTTGTAGTAATAATATGAAGAAAATGCCATTTATGCAGCCATGTGTCTGTAGAATGCCCTTAATCTGCAAAGTAAATTTAAAAACAGCCAGAACAGGCACTGTTTTATTAGCTATTTGAACAATTCTTCTTACCTTAGCCAAGTTAATGTTTTTAGCTTCTTCGAGCAAAGTTTTTTCATCCAATTTCAATATTGGTATACGAGACGTACACAATTCTACCATGACAACATCTGGACGGACATTACGTATAACCTTTTAAGGTAAAGGAATGAATATAATAATAATAAGTTTTTAGACGAGATTCAAGTAATTTTGCTTACAAATGATACATCATCCTGAGATTCCTCACTAAAATGGGCAGTCCCAACCAGATAAACTTTGCTCCCAAACGGTGTATTCAAGATGGTCACCGTTGAAGGCAAATTTCTTTCAAACTCTTCCAATGTACTATAAATTTTTAATGGGCGCTTGGTTTCCGGTTGGACGTTACCGTTACTGGGAAGGCCGGCAGAAGAAGGTGGTGCGTGCTCGGCAGCGGATGCTTCCGCAATGGCTATATTCAATTTTTGCTTGCTGGAATGTAATAAAGATTCAGCCTTTCGACGTCTTTTATCTGCCGCATTTTCCAAAAAACTTTTACTGGGGGAACCTTTAGGAACTGTTACAACATCCATTATTGCTCCCATAGTATTGCCCATAGTATTGCCTCTTATCGTACTAAGCTTGTTTTGGTCCGCATTCTCATCAAGTTCTTCATCCGAAGAGGTTTCAATTACTACTACGGAATTTTCAATATCCTCATCTTTAAAAGAGTTTTCATTAATTTCTATAATTGACAGGTTAGGATTATCTGTTTTAAATATTGTCTTATTGGCTAATTGAGATTTTGGATCAACTTCTTCCTGGGATGTATTGACATCCATGCTTTCTGATTCAATGTTTTTCGCACCGGAATGCACATTCTGCATATGAACATCATTTGGAAGTTCAGTGAACTTCACTAGCGGTAACAGCGGCGCGCTACCGCCTGGGCCATTGCGTTTTAAGGTCATCGTTGTAATCGACGTAGATGATGAATCAATTTTACAATACGTCGTATTACTATCAGTGGTCCGTAAATTCAAAATATCAGCATTATTATTATCATTCTCTATAAGTAATATTAGAAGTAAAATGAAGAAAAAAAAAGTTGTAAAATATGCAATATTTTAAAAGAATGTGCTCACCATTAAAAGAAACAAATGTTGTTTGTTCGTCCTCAATAGCACTGTCATATAATGTGCTATTAATGGCGCTAATGTCATTATTCCGTAATGTACTGGTATCGCATTTCATTGATGTCTTTTCGGCCCCTTTTATGGGTATCTTAGTAATTACGTTAAATGATGGTGAAGATGACAAGTCCATAATTGGAAGAATTGGTTACAGTAACAAATTCGTTATTCGGAGGTTTGGTTTTTGTAAGTTTGATTAGTAATTAATGTAGAAAATACATAAAACTGCAAAAGAAATCAAATTAAAATCGCGTAATGTACAAAAATTAATTTTAATTTTAAATTGTAATTCTTAATTATAGCTATACTAAGGAGATGATCCTGTCCTGTAACTTCTGAATACTTACTGCAACTTCTTGGACTAAAAGGGTAAATCCATTATGCTTTTTTTAAATTTGGATCCTATAGATCTACTTTTAAAAAGTAATGAGCTCAAAGATTCTAACTTTGTTGATAATGTTTTAGAATACACATTGTACACGGTAACAATGTATCGGAAAACCCTTTAAAGTGAATAAGCCAAACACAGCAAGGATGGGACAGTGGGAATTGATTGGAATATATCTTTTTAAAAATGTTATATAGATGACGTAACTTGAACTACACGCAATATAAGCAAATATTTTAAAGCAAGTCATATAATTGCAATTCATCTTGCAACAATTCATGTTGCAAAATTGAATTTTCGCTTTAGGGAGAAAGTTGGTTTATGCTTGAATTCTATTTGTTGAACTCGATAGTACGTATTGCACTTGCACTTACTTGAATGTTTAAGACACGTCTTACGTTAAGATAAAAAGTAGATTGTATATGCCAACAACAACAAAGTTAGGTTTTTGGACTAATTGGCAAAATTTAAGGAAATCTCTCCACACAGAAACTTATTTGCTTCTTTTTTCATTTTCTTTTGCTTTACCACGTCATAGAAAATCTTGAAATATTTACATTTGTTTATTTAATTTACGTAAAATTTTAACCTAATTACCCCATTCGGCTGCTACTTTTTGCTTCTGTTTTTTCTTTCTCTTAAAAAGAAAATTTTAATTTATCCAACTCACATTATATGAATTTCATAAAATGTTATTGTAGTTGCTCTTTCGGTTTGTTTTTAATGTACTTCGATTATAGTTATAACTGTTTTGTTGTTTTTTTTTAAAGGTGATTTAACAAAATAAAAAATATAATGCAAAAATTTCCAAAAAATCAAAAACCGAATTAAAAATTTTTCTATTTATTGTTTTCTTTGATTTCTTTTTCCCTAACAGCGTTGCTAAATTAGTATTTAATAGAATGTTAAATATGCGATAATAGTAGAAAAAGATAGCAAAGAAAAAGTATTCGTGATAATTACACTTAAACTGAATTAAAAAATTATAGAAAAATTTATAAATTAATTTATAAAATTATTATTAAATCACAAATTTTTTCTAAACTAATATTACAACTCTGAAGTCATTAAATATTAATAACTGAATGCATTTCTATTCAGAAATGCAAAGAAAATGAAACACGAATTAGTTTAGAAACCACAAGAATGGAAGTGCACGTGTATGTAAACATAAAATGTGTAAATAATTAATAGAAGGCCTATATTTTTAAAATTGTAGTCAATCGATAAATATATGTTAACAATGTCAGAAGAGTGTTCGCCTACAGCTCTCAAAGAGTTGTTTTTAGCAAATAATGACAATTTCGAAGAAAGTGATATCGGCCATGCCGCCGAAGCTGTCGGCAATATTAATGAAATTGATTTAGCAGAAGATGAAGTGTGGTTAATGCAATGTCCGAAGGGTTTAAATATAAAAGAATTAGAATCGCAAATGATGAAAATGCCAGGACGCACAAATTTTGGTAACTTGGAGTCCGTTTGCATGGAATTCACAGACGAGCCGAAGAAGGAAGCTTTCGCCTATTTCGACAGTCGTAAAAGCAAATATTCCTTGCGAATATTACCAGTTCGAGGCAGTATAATTGTACGTGAGCGTCTTAAAGCTAATAAACCTATCAGTGAGGAAGAATTTGCCCAACACTGCCCTACTAAGAGGAAAGTGGCTATGCCGCGCAATATAAATATTAGGCATCCATTATTGGGATCACAATACGAAGACATAGGTAATGTCGACACTTCCGTAATTCGCCGTTCAAGAAAAGCAGATAAACAATCTGCTGAAGTCTTGAAAGATTCATTGCTTAAAAAGAGTTCTACACGTTCAAAGAACTTAACACAAATTAAAAATAGTGGGAATGAGAGTGAGAAAGAAGTCGAATTCGTAAGCGAGACGAAAGGAAAGAAGAAGAAAAAGAAGAAAAATAAAACTTACGATGAAGATCGGATAGCAGAAGGATTAGAAGTCACACCAAAAAAAAGGAAAAAATCGAAGAACTGCACTGATGATACAATTAATGATATAGAATACGATTTTCAATGGTTACATGACTTAAACTTTTAACTTTACCTTTTACAAATTTTACAAAAAGAAATCACAGAAATACTTTTTACAAAATCAAAAGAAAACCGTAAATTTTTTTAGTTTGCGAGTAAATTCCTTGATGAAGATTAAGGCGATAGACGTTGTTTTTTTAAATGAAGAATCGCCTTTCGTTATAAGACGGAAGGATTTATGGTAAGAAAATTTTACACTATTTTTTTGGAATTTAATATATGGAAATGAGAACATCAAAAATTTGAGATGTGTATTTCATTGCTATGAAAATAATTGATTTTCAATATTATTACTGTTATTATTAAATTTGTGTTACATATATATAACATCGCCTACGGAAAACAATTGCAATCATATATCTTAAATACACATGTAATGTTTTAATGCCAATCGAAGAAAGTATTTTATTACATATTTATCGTCATATATCTGAAACGGAGCTCGAGCAGAATTGCAATTGTCTTCACCAATTTGGCTATAAAAAGTAAAAGGCATTTTTGCAGATTGCAGACATAGAACCTTAGCTTTTTCTGTTTACGTTTGTTACGATTTTCAAAGATGCTTTTCTAGACTTAGGGGACTGGCTTAATGATATCTTTCCTAAGAAATTCGATGAAGTTAATAATTATGGAGGCAGAAAATCTCAAAAATGATGAGCTTCGAAGAAACATTAAGATTAGTATAATCAATTGCTTTGATTGAGCAAAGTTTTCTGTTATTAAGTGAAACAGGTTTCCCGTCGCCTACATTATTTCCCTTGTTCCATTGATTTCGACAATTTCAATGTGTTTTATGCATATATTTTATATTTCCATTTCGATTGTATTTATAGGTTGTAACATGCAGATACAAGTTGACGAATTTGACGAGCTTCAGGATGCACGCTCAAAGGCCTCTTTAAAGTTACTTATTTCAACTTGAGATCCCGACACTCGGAATATTCCTTGATGATGTAGACCATATAGACTTATAACGCGTATACAGCTTCTTAATATTAACGGTATCTCTTCCCCAGTTGATTCTAAATACTCTTCTAAAGAGCCTCCAAATAATTTGGGACGTGCGGTTAGATTTTTGCGACCAATTCTTTTACGCTTGTTATTAATTGGATGCTCAAGAATTTCCCGCATAAAAGTGGCATTATTGTGCGTTAACATTTCCCTTAAATATTTGCAACCCTGTAATTCGAAATAATTCAATAACAGGGTGATTAACAATTTAGCAAACATTAGTTGTATCGATAAGTACTAGTTATCGAGTAGTCATTTACAATTATTTGATATATTTTGACAGCACTAAGACGCTCGTTCATTGTTATTTTTTTTGCAAAATATTTACAGTTTTCCATATTAAAGAAATAAAAAACAGCAATAGAAGTATAAATTTGAAAGTGTCAAATGACCCACGAAGAAAATGTAGAAGTTGTTGCGATGGAACAACAGCCTGCAGAAGTGGAAACAGTGCAAGTTCCGCAACCACCGCCACAAACAACGTCAGCGCAATTTGAAGAAGAGCAGGCTTTCTTACAATACATTGAAATGGATAATTTTAAATCCTACCAAGGCCGCGTTGTCGTTGGTCCTCTGAAACAATTTACGGCCGTGATTGGACCCAATGGTTCGGGAAAGTCAAATTTTATGGATGCCATAAGTTTTGTGATGGGCGAAAAAACATCCAGTTTACGCGTGAAGCGCTTAAATGATTTAATTCATGGTTCGTCAATTGGAAAGCCAGTTGCCCGTAGTTGTTACGTGATTGCGAAATTCATCATTAATGGCGATCGTCATAGGGACTTTAAGCGAGCCGTTATTGGCGGCTCTTCAGAATATCGAATAAATGAAGAGCCTGTTTCTAGCAGCGTCTATCTAGCAAAACTTGAGAAACTAGGAATTAACGTTAAAGCAAAAAATTTTCTTGTATTCCAAGGAGCCGTCGAGAACATTGCAATGAAAACACCAAAAGAGAGGACGGCATTGTTCGAAGAAATTAGCGGGTAACTATGAATATATTTTAAATTTACTCCAGTGATGGTGTTGACTATTAATTAATTAATAATTAATGTATAGCTCGGGTTTGCTAAAAGAGGAATACAATCGATTGAAACATGAAATGATACTGGCTGAGGAGGAAACTCAATTCACTTATCAAAAAAAGAAAGGTATAGCAGCTGAAAGGAAAGAAGCCAAATACAAAAAAATGGAAGCCGAACGTTATACCCGCTTGAAAAAGGAATATGTCAGTCTTTAATTGAATTATCTTATATATAATTATTATTGTATATTTTCATTTTTTCCGATTCGCAGACTGAGAAGCAAATTGAATATCAACTCTTTAGGCTCTATCATGTGGAAAAAGATATACAAAAACTGAATGTAGATCTTGAAAGTAAACAGAAGGAAATCAAAAAAGTAGAAATGCGCAAAGAACAAGCCGACGATGTATTACGTGAGAAGAAAAAGGAAGCTGGGACGCTGAATCGCGAATTGGCAAAAGTCGATCAAGAAATACGAGAATTTGAAACTCAAATGAACAAAAAGCACCCGCTTTATATAAAGGCTAAAGAAAAAGTGGCTCACTGTCAGAAGAAATTAAGTTCTCTGCAGAAGACGCTGGAAACCGCTCGGGAGGCGGACAATGCTCATCAGCAGGATATACGTAAATTGGAAAAACAATTGCAGGAGGTTGAGCAAATGAAGAAACGTTTTGAAGACGAAATTGAGAATGAGTCTCATCGACGTGGCAAAAGTGTACATATGGAAGAGGGGCTTGTCCAAGAATATGATCAACTTAAGCAGCAAGCAGAAGCGACAGCTACTCGTTATCGTTCAGAATTAGATTCAGTAAATCGTGAGCAAAAATCAGACCAAGATATGTTAGATGGGGAAACCAACCGTCGTGCCTCAGTTGAAGAAGCTCTTAAGAAATTGACTCTACAGCGTGAAGAGGCTGTTAAGCGACGTGACAAACTTATGGACCACATTAATTCATCTAAGGCAGCTTTAGAGGAACAGAATCGCATCAAAGACGAATTAAAACGCGATGTCGGCAGTTCGAAAGAGAAAATCGCTGAAATTCAAAGAGAATTAGAAAATGTTCGCGATCAACTAGGCGATGCTAAAAGCGATAAACATGAGGATGCAAGACGTAAAAAGAAACAAGAAGTAGTGGAATTGTTTAAAAAACAAGTGCCCGGTGTGGTGAGCAAATTACTTCAAATTAATTTATTATAAATGAAAAAAATTTTGCGTTTTATATATTTTAGTACGATCGTATGATAAATATGTGTCAGCCTACACACAAACGTTATAATGTGGCCGTCACGAAAGTTTTGGGCAAATTCATGGAAGCTATTATAGTCGACACGGAGAAAACAGCTCGACAATGTATACAAGTAAGTTATAAGATTTCTAGTATTTTAATTTTATTTATTGTAAGATATTTGATTAGCATGCACATTATTATTAGTATATTATAAGAATGCTTAGTACATAGTTCTTGGAGATACTTGCGCAGTGAATACATCGTTCATTATGTCGACGACAGTGCATAGTGCGTAGTTCCAAAAGGGAAAATCTGATATGACGGACATAATATGGGAAAGACAAATAGCTTCAACAAGCAGCAATGACAGTCACGAATTAACAAAGCGTTGCATTAAAACGCTATCTTATCAATGTAATAAGTAGAATTGCTATCAATTAAGTGAAGAAAGTAAACCTAATTGGAAGTTCGCTTAAGAACAACCTTTGGCATCCACTACGTTAACAAACAATTTTTTAGTAATCATAAGTCACATTAAACGGCCCCAGTCCTGCCTCTATCATTGCTTGATAAGAGATCAGAATCGAATTCTTAATACCCAACTCTTCCAACCAAAATATAAAACTTCCCAAATATCCTATTAGTTGTGAAAATTCCGCTACCACGACCTCTTATAAAGGGAGGCCCCAATATGCGTTTGTAATAAATTTTCGCTCAAAATCTGCTGAAAGTTATAAGCTATAATATTTTTCCTGTTATAAGCCTGATGTTGAATGCATCGCATTCTACAGCTCTAATAAGAGTGCACTGTATGGTTTTAATTAAAAAATTTGCTTAACATATTTATTTTTTTCCATATAAATTATTAACAATTGTTTTGTTGCCATTTGCATTCAATAACCTTTCTGAAGTAAATTTATTTCAAATGGTATTTTCTTACAGATACTGAAGGAACAAATGCTTGAGGTGGAAACCTTTCTACCTTTGGATTACTTACAAGTTAAACCCTTAAAAGAACGTTTACGGTATTTTCTTATATTTTAAGTATTTGAATAAAGTATATATTAAAAAATTAAATTAAAATTTTAGAAATATCACCGAACCTCGGAATGTCAAACTGGTGTACGATGTATTGAAATTTGAGCCGAAAGAAATTGAACGGGCTGTCCTATTCGCCACCGGCAATGCCTTGGTTTGTGAAACTCCAGAGGATGCTATGAAAGTTGCTTACGAATTGGATCGTTCGCGTTATGATGCTTTGGCTTTGGATGGTACATTCTATCAAAAATCTGGCCTCATTTCTGGTGGCAGTCATGATTTGGCTCGCAAAGCTAAACGTTGGGATGAGAAACATATGGCTCAGCTAAAAATGCAAAAAGAACGTTTAAACGAAGAACTAAAGGAATTGGTCAAGAAATCTCGCAAGCAAAGCGAATTGGCTACTGTTGAATCACAAATAAAGGTGAGACTATGGGAAATCGTATAGTTTTCCACCATCTACTTCTAAATGATGGGGATATGTTAGTTTGTCATTCCGCTTATAATAATCAGAATGAGAGATTTTGAATTTTTAAGTCTAGTGCTCAACTAATAATATCACAATAGGAAAAGTTGAGATTCAAAACTGAAGCATGACTGCAACGCGTCAATGGAAATTAGCATGATCCGGAATGAGATGGTCGGAAAGCTACGGCTCAAAGCTGAGAGCTAATATTGCGTTAGGATTTTGTATTCGTATTTTACAGAAACCCATTTGGAGCAAAGACACACAATCAGCAAAATACTTTCTCTATTTATTGGCAAATAATTCTAGTTAAACAATCAAAAAAACAACTCAGACTATAATTATCTGATCCCTTTATGCTAAACCTTTACTTTAAATACTATACTTGGATATTTTAGGGTTTGGAGAATCGGTTAAAATACAGTATGGTCGATTCCGAATCATCTAGAAAATCGATAGAACAATTCGATACTCAGCTTCAGCAAGTACAAAGTCAATTGGACGAGTTTGGTGTAAGTTCTCTGTGTTTAATGATTTTCTCTTCTAATCACAATATTGTTCAATTTTTCAGCCTAAAATTGGTGAAATTGAAAGACGTATGCAAAACCGCGATCAAAACATACAGACAATCAAAGAAAATATGAATAACGTGGAAGATCAAGTGTTTGCTAATTTTTGCAAGCGTTTGGGTGTTAAGAATATCCGCCAATATGAAGAACGGGAATTAATCATGCAGCAGGAGCGAGCCCGTAAACGCGCTGAATTCGAACAGCAGATAGATGCCATCAATACACAGTTAGACTTTGAAAAGCAGAAAGATACAAAAAGTATGTTTCCATATATACGATAATCATATTTTAAACGTGTTTTTGCTTATCGTAAAATTTTTGTTTAGAAAATGTCGAGCGTTGGGAACGCAGCGTTCAAGACGAAGAAGATGCTCTAGAGGGTTTAAGAGCTGCCGAGAAACGTTACCTTAAAGAAATAGATGTGGATAAGGAGAGAATGGAACAATATAAGCAAGAGAAGAATGCGAAGAAGCAAGCTGTCGATGATATGGAGGAAGAAATATCAAAGGCACGCAGAGAAGTGGCTAATTTAGCCAAAGAAGTACATAATATGGGATCACAACTGTCGTCAATTGAAGCCAAAATTGAAGCGAAAAAGAATGAACGCCACAATATACTTATGCAGGCCAAGGTTGGTAAGGATCTTCGTTAATGACTTGAACATTTGAGATAATAATTAAACAAAACGAAAAAAAAAAAAAAAACAGATGGATTGCATTGCGGTGCCTTTGCTTAAAGGGTCTTTAGACGACGCCGTGCGTCAAGGCGACTCAGAGAGTGGTACAAATTCAAACTCAACTTCTTTAATACTTGAAAGGGAAAACCGGTATAATAATTCTACTTTTGCATTTATTTCTATACCTGTCTACCACAAGAGGGCATAATAATAAGTTTAGCCAGTATCTTCGACTGTTTATAGAATAAAATTTCGTAGGGCACACCATCGAATCTCCGACGCACCTGAATACGCATCGAAAGTTGCATATAATCAAATGTTATAAAAAGACATGTCTGTCTGCTTAATTATGTTTCGAAATTACATTTGGTATGACTCCCAAAATCTTTGCCCGAAGACCACACAAAATCTTGATGGAATAATAATAACAATATCTGTCTCTATTGACAGAAATTCGAATTTAAAATATGTTTGTTGTTTGTTGTTCCCAAAAAAAAAATACCCTCTTAGTGGTAGATATTACAACATTCGATCAAGTCGAATATAATTGATTTTCTATATTAATGTAATTATTTCTCTTATGCCGCATTGCTTTCAAAGTATTGAAGTTGATTATCAGAATTTGCCTCGTGATTTGTGCAAGCTAAAAGATGACTCTGCATTCAAAAAGACGAACGAGCAACTTCAAAAGGAGCTACAAAATAAACTAGAAGTTCTGGAGCGCATACAAACACCGAATATGAAAGCTATGCAAAAACTTGATCGTGTTACTGAAAAAGTACAATCGACTAACGAAGAATTTGAAAATGCACGACGTAAAGCGAAAAAAGCTAAAGCTGCCTTTGAGAAAGTGAAATCCGATCGTATTGAAAAGTTTACAATGTGTTGCAATCACATCTTAGAGGCTATAGATGGTATCTATAAGAAGTTAGCTCGCAACGAAGCTGCTCAAGCGTATTTGAGCCCGGATAATCCAGAAGAGCCTTATTTGGATGGCATTAATTATAACTGTGTCGCACCTGGTAAACGTTTTCAACCCATGAGCAATTTGAGCGGAGGGGAAAAAACAATAGCTGCTCTGGCTTTATTGTTTTCAATACATAGGTACGATAGCTTTCTTTTAACAAATGGATGGACGAGGGCTAAATTTGTCCTTCTGGTTGTAACAACTCCGCGATGCCAAAAGGTATCGTAAATAATTTATGATGGGCCTATTGAATTTTCTATGCCCATATGTAGTTGATTTAAATTAGATCGTCGTATATCGATAGATAAATCAAATTTGGAAATGGAATTCGTCCATAATATATATATACAGGCCCTCGTTCTTTATTAACGGATTGCTTCGTAATTACCAAAACTTTATATGCATTTCTTCTTATTTACAGTTATCAGCCTGCACCTTTCTTCGTACTTGATGAAATTGATGCTGCCCTTGACAATACTAATATTGGTAAAGTGGCGTCATACATACGGGATCACACTACAAATTTACAAACAATTGTTATTTCATTGAAAGAAGAATTTTATGGACATGCCGATGCCTTAGTCGGCATTACACCTGGTGTAAGCTACCGAATATAAATAAATAGTTTACATTTTTAAATGAAATATGTCTTTTTCACAGGAGGGCGATTGCTTGGTTTCAAATGTTTACCTATTCGATTTAACTGAATTCGAGGACAGATATTGAATGTATATTATCGTTAATCTTTTCATTTCGTTGGAATTGCTCCCCCCCATTACACGCAATTATTATTATGTAATTAATTATCGTGGATTATAGTTTTATTGTTTATTGTGGCACTTATACAACAATATATGGAAAGACATCCCATAATTAAATTCATGTATTTTTAAGACAAATTTTATAAAATTTTTTGGCTAAGTAAATAAGAAGTAAAAAATAAAAAGGAAACATTTTAATAGTTGGAGAAAATATTTGTCTATATTATTAGTTTCATGGTTTTGTAAGAAAAGGTAAAATGCAACGGTTACAATAAATACCTTGAGTTAACAAATTATTATTCAAATAATTAAATATATCAATTTTTTGTTACATTTTAGTTTTCATTAAAAATCAAATTTGAAACGTGCAAAAAGTAGGTCTAAAGAGCAGGACTAATTTTCAAATATTATTGCAATTAAAATCTCCAAATTATTGTTATTAATTTGCAAAAAACCGCAATTAAATCGATGCATTCCTTTTCATGTTATAAACGAAAGAAAATAAGCACGTTTCTCTCTATAATGCAAACAAACAACGCCAACAACTACGACATAGAAAAAATAAATCTTCTTTCAAATAAAATCCAAGCACCAGGCCAACAAAATCAAATAGCAAGAAGATTTTTCTGATCATTTTCTCACATTATTTTTGTGTGCTTTGAGAATAAAATAGGAAACGCCCCTTCTCATCTTCTTCTTTAATTGCGTTATTGCGTAGTATAAAAACATGTGCTTATATACACACACAGGTTTGTTATGACTCTCGATAAGCGTCTGTATTTGCTTACAATTGAGAATAATTGTACAAGTCAGTTTGTATTTCTTTACAATGGAGAAAAATTTAAAAAGTCAGTCTGAATTCGATAACATCTGAGAGTAATTCAAAAATAATTTGGTAACATCTGAGAGTAAGCGTCTGTATTTGTTTACAATTGAGAAGTCGGTTTGTATTTGTTTGCACACAGAAAGCTATTCAACGCAATGTTAAAGAGAGCGTGAGAGAGAACTTTTAATAATTACAAACGGAGAACAGTTGCAAATGAGTAGCATAGTGAAACATGTGTGTAAGCGGTAGTAGTAGTAGTAGTAGTATTAAGCGAGGGGATGGTAAGAATGTTTTCGTTTTTATACAAAAACAACAATGTGAGAATAAGATCAAAGCAATGTTATGTATATGAATAATGCTTTGATAGTATGCAATAACGCAAATTCTTTTGTATAGTAACAAAATGCATATAAAAGCAGATGTTAAAGGAATTATGATAGAAAGGGGTGTGTCAAAGATGTTTACAGTATATGCAAATATTCGCTTTCCGTTCGATTCTGTTGGCTTGATGCTTCGATTTTATTTGAATGAAGAATTATTTTTTCACGTCGTAGTTGTTTGTTGTCGATGTTCGTTTGCATTATGGAGAAACGTGCTTATTTTCTTTTGTTTATAACATGAAAACGAACGCATCGATTTAAACGCGGCTTTTTGCAAATTCTTAATAATAATAAAAAAAGCACAAAATTTCGAAAATAAATCTGACCTATTAAATATAACTTTAAATATGATTTTCAAGTAAATTATCTGCAGATGTTTAAAGCAAAAAAAGGCCGCCTCATATATTACAATCGAATTTTATATAAAAATTTCAACATATTTAGATTCGGTTTGGATAAATGATTCATCCAAGAAAAGGACGATATATCTCGATAATAATTAGGTTATTGTTGCAATTGAAAATTTTACTTTTCGGGTCATTTACTTATTTTTCCTGCTTCCATAAACCCTTCAAACACTTGCTCTATGTGAACTCTGGCTCTACTAGAATTTATTTTTCGTAATTTTACTAGAAAGAGAGAGGAAAGGTTTTTTATTTTTAATTTGGAAAATGTTTTTTTTTTTATGACTAATTACTGTTACGGATTTTGCGACATTTTCGTTTTTCTCTACCGTGTCACCTTAGGTTCCTCAACAGCAACCCCCTTGTTAAATTTTCTATGTTGAATGTCGTATCTATAGCTCTATGTGATGAAACAAAAAATGTTATCGTTTAAGGCTTTCTTCTCTGGTTGCAGACATTTAGTGTTAAAACAATGCATCTTCTATGGAAGTGAAATGTGTTTGTATTAACGCTGCGGGTTTCATGAACATTATCATGTTTGCTGTAAGGATTACGAGTAAAAAAGATTTCAAAAAGTAATATACTTACTTATCTTCGCTCAATATCGTTAAGGAAATTCAAACAAGGAGCATTTTTTTTTTAAGTTATGAATTTTTTCATATATATTTTTTACTTTTTTCATTGTTGTGTTTTTTTCTTTTTTCATGGGAAAACAAAAAGCCAAAAAAAAGAAGAAAAACTTAATCAAGCAGACGACAGAACACAAGGATAATACGTATGTATATATATTTTTTCTTAACTACAAGGGCATAGAAGTACAAAAAAAAAAAAAAAGAAATCGGAACATAAAAGAAAACAAATTTCACTTTTTCTACATATTAAAAATTAAAAAAAAAAAAAAAAAAAAAAAAGAGAAACTTCAAATGAAATTAATTTTGTAAATACCTCATCAACTGTAGTATCGGATATAATTTTTCGAATGTTATTGAATGTTTTTAGCTTATGAATTTATTACAACTATGGCGGGTAATAAATAATTAACAAATTACACATAAAAAAATACGTACTTTTTACTTAAAGCCTTCTTTTAATGAGACATTTTATGATGTGCGGGTCTTCAAGGAGGAGTTCAAGTGAGTCGGTCATCAAAAGTGTTTCAGCGAATGTGGTGCAAATTCGTATTTTGTTATCTTTTTGAGGTGAGTATATAAAAAAAAAAAAAAAAAAAAAAAAAACAATTTTTCCATACAATGTGTCTGTCTAATGTTGGGTTTCCTTCCACTTAAATTTGTTTTAAATTGTTTTTTAATTGTTTTTTTCATTTTTGTTTTTTTTTAGGTATTTTGGTTGCATGTGTAATTTTTGTTTTTACTTGTTTGTTGTTATTGTTGCTATAGGAGGAGAAATTACTAAATGTAGAGTTATTCACAATCTGTAAGTTGTTGTTGTGTCTCGGGATTTCCTTCTTTTTTTTTTTTCATTTCTTTTTTATATACAATGTCTTCATATGCACACATTGTAATGTTGAGTTTATGCCTTTATATGTTGTTTGTGTTGTGATTGCTCGGTGTTTTCTCCCACTTTTTCTCTCACTTTCTTCTTTTCTCTTGTTTATTATCCGTTGATATTGTTTTATAGGCTTTTGTTTTCTTTTTAATGCGAATTCATTGATTTTCAGCTTTTCAAGGGGCCTTTACTACTGCAAGTAAAAAAAAAAAAGTAAAAACACATACTATGTAAATAATTTAAATACATTAGCTTTATACAATTAATTGCGAGAAAAAGTAGACGGATTTGAATAACAAATTTTGAATTATATATAAAAATGATTTATTTGAAAACAACCTATACTTACATTGCTACATATTTAAGGCTATCACAGTGTATCTTATACTCCATTGGCACGCTAACAGGTATATTTAATATCCTACGCAGCGTATCACGAATACGTGTTGTACTGGCATGATCAGTGGCAGTGCGATTCCAAACTGATAAACTGCATTCCTATTAAAACAATTTGAATTTTTTTTTTTTGATTTTGTATAAAAAATGAAATAAAAACAAAGGAGAAAAAACATTAGTAGCTTTGTATAATTTTTGTATGTCATTTTTTTTTTTTTTTTTGAATATAATTGATGCCTCAAATCATGCTGGCGGCTAAGGTGACTGCATAGGACGATGCAAGGACGTCTTTGGCAAATGCAAAAATAAAACTTCATTGGTATTTTTTTTTTCGTGTTTTTTACTTTTTATTTTTATTCAATTTAATATTTGGAAATTATTATTTATTATGATTTTCTGTTTAAGTGACTAATTTGTTTAATTTTTTTTTCTTTTTCTTTTTCATTTTGTTTTTTTTTTTTTTTTTTTAAATTTCGACTCAAATAAAAAAGGAAATGCTATTTAATAATAATAATAATAATAATATTTTTAATAATATTTTTAAAATTTTTTGTTGTTTTTTTTTTTTTTTACTTAATGTTTTAAGATTGTTGTTGTTTTCGTTTTATGTTATTATAATTATCATTATTTTTTTTTTTTTCTTTTTTTTTTTGCAAATTTCTTAATAGACTAACACTCCCTCTTAATTTTATAATTCAATAAATGTACAACTAATTTTCTGTTAAATGTTTTTGTTGTCGTTATTTTCTTTTTATATTATTAAGAAAGAGAAAAAATATTTACGATTAATTGTATGTTAAGTGTGTATGCGTTTGGTATTGTTGTATAAGAGTTGGAATTTATATTATTATTATTATTTTTTTTTTTGTTTTTTCTTTTTATATAACCAACCCATTTTCTTAAATACTTTATGAAATTTTTTACTTAGCTTTTTTTCTCTTTTTCTTTTGCTTGTGTACTTGTTTTTGTAAATCTTTTTGTGTTTTTAAATGTTTAACAATTAATGAGTATTTGTTCTTGTTGTTGTTGTTGTTGTTGTTGCTGTTGCTGCTTTTGTTGTTGTTCTCGCTAGTATAATTTGAATTAACTTTCTTTAGATAATTTTTTCCCCGTTTTAATATAATTTTTCGATTTTGATTTCATTTATACGGTTTTATTGGATAAATATGTTTACGGCTTTCAGTAACATTATTATTATTTTTTTATTTTTGTTTTTACTTTTATCATATTTCTTAAGTGCCACTTAGAGCTTATTTTTCCTTTGCCTATTTAACATCGTTATATTGCATATACATGCACATATACATTCCATGCTATTCAATTTGGTTTGGTTTACTCTTTATGCTGTAGAAAATTAATTATGGTTCAATCTTGCTTTTTATATATTCTCTCTATGCAATTCATTGTGTATGCAAGTTAGAGACAAAAAAAAACGTAATATATATAAAAATATTTCTCTGCATTTTCCACATTTTCCACGACGGAAACACCTCCATAGGTATGTATTTCTTCGATATGCGAATGCTTTTTGTTTTTTAAATCCTTAACATGAAATTATTCGTCAAGGATTAAAATATGAACAGATATCAATCTATAATCCCAATCAATTTACAATCTCATCTGCATTCCACTTTTAAGAATAGATTGTTTTTGTAATTTATTTCTGAACTTTAGAAACGTACTCAACAGGCAAAGATCTGAATGAAAGTTCTGAAATAACCTTTGCAGAATAATCGGAATGGAAGATAAGGACGAACTTCACCCTTAGTTGATTTATTTATTGGTATTGACTGATATCATTTAATACCTTTGATATCAGTTAAGTGGAGGCCTACTCATAAGGCTGTTGCGATACCTTTGCGGTTGCGGTTTGCGAATGGGAAAAAAAATGTCGTGAATAGTTGTGCAGTTTAGATTAATCGTTCAGGTTTAAAAAAGGATAAGAAGTTCTCAGTCTTTTTCTTATTCAATATAAACGTAAGGAAATTCTTTTCTCTTTTCCCGGATTACGCACTCAGCGAATGTCTGCTATATGTTGCCGGCACGTTGATGGCCAGCTTACCTTTCTGTTCCTCCTCTCTTCTGCATAAGAGGAGAGGCCCGAGCGATAGATAACTATGCGCTTTACTCGTTCTTCTTTTAGACTTTACTGCCCTGTTGCCGCATACGATGGCAAGTGGTTTAATATCAGTTTTAGAATCTATTCAAGGACATGATAAGTTGAGTTTCGATTTTTTAAACAAATTTTCGCAATTATGAGAACAACGCCTGAGAGGAGGATGTGACGGATGGATGATAAATGGATTCGGAATATACTAACCATACAACTGATATCTGCTATCTGGTTTCTAAGGAAACAAATAAATTAACTCATTCAATATATCGCAGATATCTCGAGCGCATTGTTTTAATGTTTCTAAAGAATTAAAATTCAATTCAATTCAATTCAATTTTCACATTCATTCGCTTTATTGAGTATTTCGATGATGTTCGAGAAAAATAGAATTAATTTTTTTCTTTCATCTCCATCGTAAAATGAAAGTATACCAGATTTGTCGTACGCTTTGGAACACAAACCGAGACGCATTAGAAACTCCATAAAGTATGGATCGATCATCAGTGCTACATCAGTCCTGCTGTACGTACTTTCATTGCAGGGGAACCGTTAATACCACCGTGGCTAGAATGATACACCCTAGCTATGGCTGATAATAAGTAAGAAATAAGTAAGAAAAACGATATTAGTTTATTTACTTAAGTAGACGTTGATCACGACGATTGATAGAAGCTTTGATATGAAAAGCTTCCCACAGCAAAAGGAGATAAAAATTAATATTTAAAGCATGCAGCAGACAGACGCTGTAATCGGAAACATGACATAATTATTTCCAAGCATCATTGCGGAGTTTAAAAGCAAAAACATTCGCGTTCTTCCACTTAAGATGACTTTCTGAACATTTTACTATGGACAGACAGATAGTAGATGATTCATTTGAAAAGGAATGCAATTTCTCCGGCATGTTATATGGAAAACGCAATAGAATTTTCACAATCAATTTTTCATTAATTTTCAATAAAAATATCAAAACTCTTTGTTGAATAAAAAAGAAAGAAAAAAAAATTTTATGGAATTGATAGATAGATAGATTGATTGATCGATTGATTAAGCGAAGACGGTTGACTTTCGCAGTATAACAATTGATGAGAAATTTCCAAAGGGGAAACTATTTAAAAGAAAAATTACATTTTTCATAACAAAGAAGAAGAGAAAAGTGTATCCATTTCGTTGACAGACAATGTTACTGTTATATAACGTATAAGTAGTTTGCTTGTTCGGTTAATTTATTTTTTTTTTTAAATTTTTTTATTAAACCACCCCCCCAATCAATTTCATTTTATTGCTAAATTTTTAATTAAATTGCACATTGATATTCATTTTCGTATGAATACGAATTATAATCCTTTTGTTTTTGATAAAAAAATTCTTTTTTTTTTTTTTTTTTTTAATTATCTCTCTGTGTTTTTCTCCTGTTAATTTATTTCATTTTAGTATTAATTTTTGTGTTTCGTTTTTTTGTTTTTCTGACTTTCCAGTGTTATAATTGATTAATTTCGCGTTTCCGCTTTGTTTGCATATAATGCGTTTTACTCTCTTTTTTTTTTAAATATGGTTTTGTATGAAATAAACTTATGGTATATAAGTAAAATTAATACTTTATGCATTTGTTATTTTTATGGTATGTATTCATGTTTATGTCTCTCGATTTGTATTTTATTATCTCTCCTTCTCCTCCTCCTCCTCCTCCTATTCGTTACTTGTATATCTCTTTTAATCGAAAATTTTATATGACTTATTATTATTATTATTATTATTGCTTTTATTATTGGATGATATATATGTAAATATTTATATAATTTATTATTTATATAATTATCATTTACGTAACATTATTAATGACATAATTACATACACGTATTTCCTCTTCGACTTCTTCATCTTCGTTTTCTTCTTCAGTGGGGTAGTGTTGGAAGTGTATTCGTCATTAAATTTTGTCATTTTTCTTTTCTTATTTTTTTTATTTTTTTTGATTTGCTTTGATTTGATGAGAAGATTCGATCTAACTAAATAAAATAATTTTGAATTACGAAAACAACTCCTTTTATAACTCAGGATTAAAGATAAAAACTTTTGTAAAGAAACCTTATTTCAGTATAATTTTGTCATCTCTTCTAGGGTTTCGTAGTTGTTGTTGTTGTTCTTGTTGTTGTTGTTGATATGTTTAAGGCCAACATATGAATGAGACATAACACAAGCTGAACGTGTATTAACATTAAAAAAAAACAACAAAAAGAGTAAACAAATACAAGAAAGGAAAAAACTACAAACATACATATATTTTTGTAGGGCCAGTGGTACACTCTAAAGTTGACTGAACCTTAGGATTTAAACAGTCTTCACAAGAAAGTTATTTCGTTTTGCATTTTCTCTTTTCTACGCATAAGTCATGCATGTGATTATGTTTACAGAAGAAGAAGAGGAGAAAAAGTGAAAAGATATGTAGAGATAGCGTAAGGTAATTTGTTTCTTGCCAACCTAATACAAAAATATTGTTAATTTTTTTTTGCAATTTTTTGCATTTTATTCATTCCAGTGTTTCGAAATCCCGATTCAAAACAACTTTTTCTCACTAATAGCAAATCTATTCTCTGTATAATTTGATCAAAAAGTAACGAGAAAGTTCAAATTAGAACATATTCCGCACCTTCTAATAGAAATTCTCAGTTTAAGCTATGCAAAGAAAAAGGAACTTTTTGTATAACGATTTAACGATTCTCTCGGTTCTTTTAGTTAAATGCGATTTGGACGTCGGATTAGGGCATTCACCTTTTACGGTAAATGGATTTTGTTGTCTGTTTTAAAAGCGGAAATTAAGGAGAGAATTGAATATCTTCTCTCGTTAAAAGAAGAAAACCTTGTTTTCTCTTTTGAGTGCATTTATCGATCGGAAGGCCAGGATATAATCTCAAGTGTCGAAATTTCCAAAACTACTTCGCTTGGCATAACATTGCTTTTTTAAGGATGCAATTGATTTTTTCCCTAA